ACCGAGGCGTAGGTGACAGAAGACCAAAAGCCTGGCAGGGCCGCAAGGAAACAAGTGCAGTCAATGACATGCTCACATCATTATGCAGTCACCAAGCACGTTCCACACCTTTTTCGTCATTCCCGGCCGGTAGTAGACAGGTTCAGCCGACAGCTGTTGAACTTCCGTCGTGAGGTCGAGGGCGATTAAGACTAGATGTCTTGTCGGGGGCGAATGAAAACTACAGGACACTGAGCTCTTTGTCTTAATCTAAGTTATAATTTAACACAAAAAGACTGGCCCTGAAATCACAACGGAAGAGCTGCCAGAGGAACTGTTCCCGGCAATTTCGAACCGGCAACTTATAGGATGCCCAGTAACCTAGGAATAAAATTCAACAAGGGCTCCGTTTCGAAGGTAGTGGGTAAATTTACCTAGGATTAATTTATTAATGGTACTACTACTAAGACTACTGGGCATCCTATCATGCCGGTGGCTTAACCACCTCGAAATCCTCATCATCGTCGTCTCCGCCAGGTGGCTCGTAGTACGAGGGCGGATCAAGGTCGTCATCGTCCACGAGCACCAGAGAATACGACATCATCGACATTGACATCGTCGACGAGGCCGCAGTGGCATCACGAGGACTCGGAGGCTGAGGAGATGGCATGGGCTGTGGATCGCGGTCGCGGGCGGCGGGACCGGGAGCGGGAGCGGGAGCGCCGCCGGGACGAGGGCGAGGCCGTGTGTGGCTGTCTCCTGGACATTCGGGTTCCTTAGGCTAGAGGTCCAGGTTGTTTAAATATTTTGAATGTTATAATTAAATTAAGTGGCTACAATGGACCGGGGTTAATTAAATTTATTAATGGTGCCGCCGAGTCGCGCTCGTTGCCGATCTCGTTCATCGCGGTCCGGCAGTGCCACGTCAGGATTGCAGAAGGATTCCTCCACGCAGAATCCTTCAGGCGAGATCGAGGTCGAGGACGCAAAAACTTAGAGCCTAGGCTTCTGATTATGAGAAATACAAGTTGAAAAGAAAGCCGGGCCTTCTGCTTTTGCGACGCCCAGGCCCACGACTGATACAGTCGAGCTTGCTGCAGAGCGATCGTATTTATTTCCCCCAATTTGCTCAAGCCATCGGGGCCGAGGGCGATGAGGGATGCCACGACCTGATCAGGGTTTTAGTAGTTTGAGTTTAGGGTTGAGGATTTGAGAGAAACAGAGTAGGGTTAGGGTAGTTTACTTAAGGGTCCGATGCAAACAAGCAGCGCTCCACGTCTTGGAGTCCACCTTCAGCTCCGTCAGGGTTTCCACGACCCATGGAGCTGCTGTGGTGACGCTCCTCTTGACCTTAAGAGCAAAACCATTACAACGAGGCAATGGGTCCTTATTATTATTTAGATCAAAAAATTACTTATTATTAAATGCAGATGAGAAGCGAGCTCTTGGGCCGAGGGCGGCTCAGACGCAGAGGCAGCCGGGGGCGAAGGCGAGGGCGTGGGCGGAGGCGGCACTGGAAAGTACCAGAAGAAGCCGCTGCAAACGTCCTTGAAAGCCTCCTGGCACATTTTGCACAACCGGCTGGTTGCCGAGAGCCTCGCCGGAACCTCCGGGTCGGACATAAGTCCTTCCCGGCTAGGCAGATAAAGCCGCAGATCGAACATGCACGCGAGGGCGAGGGCGATGGACGCGGACCTGTGCCTCCCAGCGGAACCTTACTGGTTTAGGGAACAGGGTCCCCGGGTTTAAGGTTCATGGCTAGGGTTACTCATGAATATTAATAACATTTAATAACTGTTTTAACAAAGCCAAGTTGCAGATGACCTGGAAGAGCACAGAAACCTGCCTGCAGGACTCAGGCAGCACCATGCTGATGAGCTGCGCAAGGCAGTAACGCAGCGTCCGTCGCCCATTCTCCGTGTCGAGGATCTGCGTGGGCGTATCGCCGTCTCCTAAGTTCAGGATTCCTCTTCAAGCGGCTAAGCCCTGTCTAAGCCCTGTAAAGCCCAAAGATTACTGCAATGCAGGTCAGGAGCGGGCCTCGTCCCTCGGCCAAAGCGAGGGCGCGCGGACGTCCACGGTGACGTGGACGCTTCTAGGGTACCAGCTCTTGAACCTCCCCACCATGCCGTCCCTGCCATAGAAGCCATCACCTGGGTTATTCCAACGACTTGAAAATTTAATTTGTCGTTATAATAATATTATAATTTAACGACCCAACTGTCTTAGGTCAATAAGTCCTGCATGCATCCTGGTGGCCTCTGCCGTTGTCATACCACGCCTCGGCCCCCCAAGCCATTACGATCAAGTCCAGGGCGAGCAAAACCTCCCTCAGTCGGCTGTGTGCCGCCTGGAAGGCCGGGGGCAACAGGCCCGTCGAGGGCGCAGAGGCGGACGAAGACGCCATGGGAATTCAAAAGGGCCAAAACTCAACCCTATCAGCCAAGCTAAGCCGCAAAGCCTAAGCTGAGCCTTAAGCAATCCTAAAGATTGACGTTTAAGCCTAAGTCGAAGCTAAGCCTTGGTTAAAGCGGCTAAGCCCAGCCAAGCCCTGCCAGCTGTCAAAGCATGTGACTCGTGTCGTGTATAGTAGTGAACACTATTAAATGTCATTGCACATGGCTGGCATGTCGAGGGCCCTGTCACTCTTGAACTGAAAACACCGACGGATGAATGATGTCAAGCTCAAGCCAAACTTGCAATGCAACCGACAGGCAATGACTTGCAAGCGACGGTGATACAGTCAGTGCCTGGGCATGCAGAAACCAACTTAGCAATTGTGTCAGCCGCACGTTCGGGCGAGGACGGTGACGGCGTCGCAACAATGGCCAAGGCCTCGTGTCAAAGTCAGATAGTTCCACTTCCAGCTGCAGACACTCCCCAAAAGCGGGTAAGTCAAAAGTGATGCGACTGGGCTCCAAGCCCACCAGTGCGCAGTTTGACCTGGGCAGTCAGGTGTGGCTGGTAGAGCAAGGCGACACACCACTTCGCAAGGCTTTGGGCTCCAAGCCCAGAAGCGCAAAGCCATCTGCAGCTTTTCACCTGAATCAGGGTTTAGTTGGAGGCTCGCGTGTCATCGTTGATGAGTTTACGAAGTTGTCAACAAGTCGGTACGAGGACGATAGGCGAGAGGACCCCTAATTTATTATTGATTGAAAAGGCTTCCCATGGTCGAGTCGTGATTCTACGGCTCAAAGATCAACCTCGTAATTTCAAAGACTCAAGGTCTGAAATGGAAAACCCAAGCAAATTGACCCAACGAGGGCGAGAGCACAGAGCTGAGGCCCTGACCCTGTGTCGGGCAAGGGGTTTTGGCCGTGATTAATCCTTCACCCTTGTTGATTATCTGAATAATTAAATAAAACCACACCCGAATAATCCTACCAAAATCACCCCTGCCCTTTAAAAACCTATTCTGAATTGGGGGTAAGGCTCCGAAAGATCCCTGACCCGAAACCTACTAGGTGCTTAAGCCCTTAGGGGCTTAGGGCCAGGGAGGTGGAGTAGTCTAATAACCCACGGCGCAGGTCGACACAGGTTTAAGTTTCAGGGATTTAGGGTTCGGGGTTTTAGGTTTAGGGGTTTTAAAGGGTTCAGGGGATTTAAGGTTCATGGTTTCAGGTTTTAGGGGTTTAGGGTTCAGGGTAAAAACTTAAAGTTTAGGCGTTATGAGCGCTAAGCCACAGCACAGGTTACCCCAAACGCTACCGTGAAGCCCAAAGCCAAGCCCTGCCCAAAAACCCTGAACAGCTAAAGCCCAGACTACATCTGAGGCGCTAAGCACTACCTGGCCTAGACCGGAAGTAACCCGAGCCTAAACCCTCAACCCCCTATTATTATTATTATTATTATTATTTACTAAACCCTAAACCCCTAAACCCTAAATCTAGACCCCAAGCCTACCTAAGACCTGTATCGGTCTCGACCTGCATCGGTCCTCAGGTTACCTAGACCCCAAACCGACCTAAGCCTAAGACCTGTATCGGTCTCGACCTGCATCGGTCGTCAAATACCTAGACCTAGACCCGAAGCTACGTAAGACCTGTATCGGTCTCGACCTGCATCGGTCGTCTCCAAAATTAAATTCCTACCCTAGACCTAGACCCTAAAATTACAGACCTGTATCGGTCTCGACCTGCATCGGTCGTCCTAACTACAAGACCTGTATCGGTCTCGACCTGTATCGGTCGTCCTTAACTAAACCCTATAAGCCCTGAAATGATTCTGGGATCCCCCGCTGTCCAATCGACGAGGAGGAGCAGCAGCAGGAGGCACATGATCCAGCAGGAATTAACTTATGGCTTAGGCGAGGGCGAGTGGGTCTGGGTCCGGGTTTTGGGTTAGGCGATAGGCGAGGGCGAGTGGCGAGGGCGAGTGGGAGTGGCGAGGGCGAGTGGGTTTGGGTTTTCCCAGGGGATTAATAGGGTCTGTGGGTTTCTGTGTGGACTACAGGTGTGCAAAAAGCTACTACTTGAGCACCAATGACTATGAGTCTATCGACCACGGTTTATTATTAATAAACCCCATGATACCTAAATTAAGAACAATCCAATCCCATATGTGGGGGCAAAAAAAAAAGGATTCAAGGGTGCAACTAAACATCTAAGTCTCTGAGGCAGGAATTGTGTAGAAACAAGCAGCACTGCATGTTGGCTTTCTGTGAGTCTGTCCCTGGAAAGAGGCTAGAAACGTCCGCCAATGTGCCCGAGACTCGTAAACACCAGAATTTGTGCAGCCACTGATGGTGTTGGAGGAGGAACCCGAACATCAACTCAGACCCTCTCTCCACATGCAAATTCGAAAGCCTCAAGGCCCTTAAAGCATCTAGAAGCCTGAAGCAACGAAAGCCGAACCCGTGAGTTCCTGCTCTACCATACAGATCCAACATCTGGACCATTGTGATTGTGAATGTTGTTCTTACGCTCGTTGCCAGTCCTCATGAAACAATGAGAAAGGTGATCACACAATTATACTTTTTATGTGCATACACAATAAACATAAGCTGCCCTGCAGACGCGGGCCTGTCTCAGAAGAGAGCCTTGACCACAAAGTGCCAGGTCGGGCGTGAGGATGTCTGCCTCTGGAGTCGAGCAAAAGACCAGGATTCTTGCTGCAAATATCGATGTTTGTTGCTATCGTTCATATTATCATCATTGTTATTATTACTCGTATTCATATTATTGCTGTTGAGGTATTTTGGCGATGATTACTGCTGACATTGCCACTATTGTTTCTTGTCGGTTATTCTATCTTTCTGCTGTGTATTACTGTGGGTAGTTCCAGTGAAATGCTTGTACGTTTGGCTCTACAGCCTTCTTCTGCACATTGGGTCAAACTGGACCAAAGCTGCGAAGGCATCCGTCCAGCCCCAAATGACGACTGGTGCGGGATTGGGGCTGTTGGTTCAAGGCTTTTCTCGGTCTCCTGCTGCATTCCAGGCTGTGCCGGACGTCCCCACACACCAGTTAGGATACTAATCTCAAAGCCCTGACGCCTGAAGCCCTACATCACCCTCTAAGACCCAACACCTCAAGCTTTCGCAGCCTCGAGCTGTGGCAGCTGCTCAAACAAAGCATGCTGCGCCAGGTAGCCTGCCCAGATGCATGAAGGTCAAGCTTCGTAGTGAGTGTGATGTGTGCATTTCTGGAAAGACCTTACAAACAGGGTTCATGGTTTAGCGCGGGGGCTTGAGCAGCCAATGATTTTGAGACTTCGGTGCACGAGCTGAAGTTGAAGCAAGCTTTGCCGTGCTGTAGACAACATTGCTGCAGAAGCTTGCACAGAATCAAAGATGACCCGCGACATCATCTGCTCCGACTTTGTATGATACGAGGGCCGCCACTCAACTCCGGTCAAAACCGCTCAGCACCCGTGGGCCCAATAGCCTAACCTCTGAACCTGGGCGGCCAAATTGCCAGCAGATGTTTCAAGGTTCATGAAGCTGGACACTAGAATGTACTATAATACACTGTAATGTACTATGATATACTACTAGGATAAACTATAACATAGGCCCGCAAGCAGAGAACCTGCCGGTAGCGCCCAACGCAGGCCAAGTCACCTCCTCCTGAAAGGCCCGCTTTGGGCACAGGCCTGCGCTCGGCCTTCAAGCTTGGGGAGGACATTTTTGGGTTAAGCCAGCATGACTTTCCGCTCTTTGACCTCTGCTTTCTTGGGGCTGGACTGGAAGTACCTCTGGCCTAGTTCCCCAGTGAGCAATACGAGTGTGGATTTCGGGCTGCAGGCTAGGTACTGATCATGGGATTTACAATTCAGGCTTCGCCAAAGACAAAGGACCCTGCGTCATTAACTGGAAAAGAATCAGGGACATCACGTGATGTACTACATGTATGAGTAAGTCGCAACCGTAGCGACTGCAAAGTTACAGTTGTTCAGGGTCCCGCTCTACTTGGAAACCTGCGTGGGCCGCGGTTTCCGGTTGCGACGGCTGAATACAAACATATTTCACTATAACATACTACACCTATGTTAACTGTATGTAAAGACTATAAGCAGATACTACTGCTAGTTCTTCCGACCCCTGTAGTATGTGCATCGTCTGGAGTCCAGGGCTCGGCTCTTGGGGCTTTGGTTAAACACATTCTCGACAACGCAGTCCCGCTGAAGAGGATTGCCAGTTTGAGGGTAACAGGTCCCCAGGGTGTGAAGTTTAAGTGCAAGATTTTAAGGTCAGACAACAAGGATGTGACCACCGTCTCACAGGATGAGACCATGCCAGCAGGTTTTAAAGCCAATGCTATGACGACTGCTACTGATGCAAGCGATCTTCTGCTCTTGATGCTAACCTACCGTTGCTGGTACTGCTACTGCTCCTCTAGTTCTCCTAACCTTCTACTTCTGCGGCTTAGGCTGCTGTGTATGGAGGAAAAATGTTGTAGAGGCTTCAGCAGCTTCACCCCGCGCCTGCTTCTTAACATTGCGTTGGGGACGGGATTTGCAACCTTCCTCCAATGATTCGGTTTTGCATCAGGCCTTCCGAAAGGCGGCCCTCGCTTTTAAGAAGGGGCGCGGGATCTTTGCTTTCTTGAGGCCTACCCCAATCAGAATATGCAGGTGGCGCAATATTCCCTCCATCTACCGTGCTACTACTGCACTGCTACGCCTACTGCTGCTGCTGCTGCTGCTGCTGCTGCCACTGCTGCTTACTGCTACTGCAACTGCCACTGCTCCTGCTCCTGCTACTGCTGCTCCTACCCCTACTCCTCCTCCTACGACTACTGTTACTACTACAGCTACTACTACTGCGAATAAGGCTGGCTACAGCAACAACACTTTTCTAGGATACTAGCAGATGCAGGCACAATAATAAATTCGGAAGACAGATCATGACAACATGTTTATAGACAAAACAGGAGCCACAAGTTTGATCAACAGCTGAAGGTCCGAAAAGATGAACGCTTGGCCGTAATTCCAGTGACTATATAAGTATACAAGAAGGCAGAGCAACCTCTTTGCAGAGCTTGGCAAAGGCGTTCAGCTGCATCAGCTGGAAGCCCTCTTCGAGCCAGTAGTCCATCCTAAGCAACCGAAGATCACTTGAAACCATTGTTAGCCTTGCGGTTACTCTTGCTTTAGAACACCGACATTCTGTGTCAATCGTCACCCGAGTGGCTCCACTGGCACCCATCGTTGGCCTGCGGCAGAGTGGCTCGAGCGTGGCCGCTGAATCCCAAACCGTGGCACATGCAATTGGCAGTTGGGCGCATACGACTGCGCTTTCATTGCTTTATCTAGAACTACACGCTACACAGACTAATTCGAAATTTTGAGATAACAATTTCCAACGTTGTTGTGGTGAATATCGGGGCCCTTCCAGTACCCTTAGAAGGGCCCTTACGAAGGCTGCCCGTCAAAAAGGCCCAAGCCCCCGGTTCCGCTTGGAGCCCGAGCCTGAGAGTCTCCGTCCCAAACAAGGAGAGGCCCGAGAGCCCAAGATATCCGCCTCCGGGCGATGAAACCATGGGAAAATCAGAAGAACACTTAAAACCCTCAAACTCCGACCCTGACATCCTAAACTCCAAAACCGTAAAGCCCTAGCACCCAAAACCCCAAACCCTTGCGCCTAGGGAGCCCGAAGTCCAGAACTCCACTTGCGGCCACTTCCTGTCCAAGGCGGCTTGAGGTCAAGTGCTCTTCCGGCAAGGGTTTAGGGTTACTTTGAAGGGCACCATACTCGTTACTTCGACAGCTCTATCAGTGTTCTTGAGGGTTCTATATGGGGGCAGGTGGGTGGGTTTAATCCTCCTGCACTGCCGCACAAACCTCCAGCCGTGGCTTCGGCAGCTGCGACAGTGGCAGTTGTGTGCACAAGCCGATAGGAGTCCAGCTATCTCGTTGCCCAATTCAGACTGTTCCTGGTTGCTCTAGATCACATGACAGTTCCAACTGCGTGGATTGGAGAATTATTGGGCAGGATGCAAGCCTTCCATCGGCTCCCTAACATTGCATGCGACCCAGAGACCACCCATCTGCCATACTGAGTTGAGTATCTCGATCCGAGGGGCCACCTAGCATAGCATTTTACTAGAGCATTTTCGGGTCGGCCAAAATCTTAATAGCTAGTTGCAATCGCCAAGATAGCGTATCAACACGAGCATCGCCTCAACTGCGATGCGCATAACCGGAATCACAAAAATCATCATGCTAATTCCTAGCACCAACAGATAGTCGTACCAAGAGGAAGACGGAGCCAATGACGAAGTCGCAAGAGCAATCGCATCATGCATGGCCAGCAAACAAATCCGGGTCCATGCTCAGGACCCGAGTTTAGGGGATCAGAGCTTTAAGGCCAATTCGGGGCATGCCTTGCAAGGTCGTTGCATCAAGAGCTCTGAGGATCAAGCTTATGAAGGATTAGAAGTCGAGGCAAGAGGTAGGGACCTTCCCTCTTTCGATGTGCTATTGTCGGACCGTTTTCAGGGAACAGCTGCGAACCTCGCGCACGTCCCTGCGAGGCAGGTGCTCAACTGAAAGGACTTCCTGGCATCGACAGCCCGCATCCCTCAACTGGAACATGCTTTTAAGGTGGAGAGGGACCATCACAGTGTAGAACCTGAGCCCGAAGCTTGAAGCAGTCGTAACCCTTTCCCAAACCGATCCACCCAAGCGACCTCGTCGCTGGCCAGTGGCCACATCCACCTCGCCAAACCAGCGGACTTCGTGGTCCCAAGTGCTTCACGAGGAAGTGCTCCTCGTTTGTCTCTAGTACATCATGATACAGTGCTTCGTCATACATTCTTTCTTCAGTACTATATTGTTGTAGATGTAGCACGAACAGACATACATACATACATCATAGATACGTACAACTCATGCTTCACATATTGTGGATGTACATGTGCATGTGTATATATACACACACAGATCGCAGCTGTAGTCGTGAACTCTGCTGTCTTCCGGTGCAGTCGTGCGGTTGACAGCACAGCTACAGATCGGCCTAACTTACGACGATGGTACTGCTATGGTGCTGCACTTCATTGCTGAATTCCCTTGCTCGCCTCTGGTCTACCCGGTCAAGCTACTTTCGAACGATGTATCGCTAACCAGCTCATCCCTGGAGGAGGTCGGGTTGACCCGATGCAGCCCGGGGGCTAAGCCAAGTGTCCGATGTGCAGCCACCTAGCCAGATGAACGCGAGTTTTGAGGCAAAGATGTGCGCGCGTCGGAGATTGCAGGAGTGGTTTAATTTGGCTTTGGAATACTTAAGCTACAAATTTGCAGACATGCTGTGCCTGTGACGTTTACCACATCAGGCTAAAGCAATAGATACATAGTAACAGTGTCCCTATCTTGCGATAGTATTGCTGGACTAGCCCACATCGTGCGCACACATGTGTCGCTGAGAAAGCAAGAGGAAGATTTGTTTCGCCTGCTACAAGGAGAAATCCAAAACCCGCTTGTACCAGCCGCACGCTCATTATTCAGGACTTGTGTGGCTCCTACGCTTTTGAAGACCTGAGGCTTATTGCGATCTACGACACAGCGAGGCCTGTACAAAACAGCGAGGGTTTTTGAATGAAGCCCAGATCACTGCAGACACTGCGAGAGAACATTCCAACTGACGACATTTCACCGTGTGAGCTACTATGCGAAAGTTTATGGTGTTGACAAAACAGTGCAGAACTAGTTCAGCACACAGTTCGATATGATGTCGTATTGCCGTGCATCCTTCCGGCACAACCCACATTGCCTAGCCCAACTCCAACCATGCAACCATCGGTCGGATACGCTTACGGCGGCATCAGAACGCATGTCGGTCGTTGCGTCTGGAAGGACCTCCTCCGGCGGGCATCGGATGTGTGGCAGTTCCGCGAAATGCTCCGCCAGCAAAGCTCCTCCGTGGGACTGACAAGCGACAGTTGTGCTTTGCAACGGTAAGGTTGAGAGGACCTCGGCCGAATGACTAAACCCTAAATATCCTAACCCAAAGCCCTAAACCCTCAACCGAATCCTGAAACTGTTGCATAGGGCCGCTTCGGCTTTGCATCCTGGGCTTCAGGACGGAGCAAATTAACTCCGAGGGCGGCTCTCTGACTCGCCCTCGTCCACTAAGATGTTCAGGGTCTTTAGGGTCTTTCAGGTTTTTGTCGGAGGGATGTGCGGTTGAGTTAGTGTCTCAGGGACCCACTTGCCCTGACAGGGTATCAAGGCCTCAGGGTACCAAGGGTATGGGAGCCTGTGGGCAGCGGCTGGTTCAATACCCTACTCTAGGGGCCTGAAATTAATACATATCATCACAGCAGGGTCTTGGTGCCCATTCTACTAGAACTATAACAAAATAGTATAGGTAATTATGAAGGCTCCTATATTGAACGCTGAAAGTCTTTCGTCTCCAGGCCTGTGTTCAGGGAGACCTCAAGGAACACATTGCTATCGGGGTTTTAGGAGCTCTCCTGGGCAAACCTAAGTTGGTGTGTAGACTCATCGCAAGCTAAGCATTTTCGGCAAGAGCAATCATCTTGAGTTGTTGAGTTGCAGAGAACGCGCAGTCTCGTGGCCTGGGGTCCCTACACCCAAACCACACTTTTCTGAATCAGACCAGCAGACCTCGAGCCCGCCCCGAACCTGAACCCACGGCAAAGCATGAAAGATCCCCACAAACTCAAAAGATCCGTTTCCGATTCCGGCCCAGATCTGCCTGGAGTAGGCTCTGTGCGGGCCCTCTTCGCATCACGGCCGTCTGCATCATCATCTTCTGCTAGCTCCTCGATCCAGGAGGTTAGGGTTTCGGTGTCCGTCAACTACTCGAGAACTTATTTTCTCAGACAGTCAGAAACTTGGGTTTCCGGCTCCGATGAGGCCAGCAGCCCATGGTTCCAGGCCATTTAAAAACGCGGGGGGAGCTCCTTCTGAGACACAACATTGTTGGGGTGTCCTCTGTCCCTGTCCCCCCGTTCCACACCCCGAAACCCTGGGCCCGCCCGTGTGCTTCATGATCGGACTTGCCCATCCTGACATGCACTGCGACGATTCGTTCGGCTGCCTCTATATATCCCTGCACTCAGCTGAAGCCGACATCTGCAACCCCGCAAGTCCCCCATAATTATACAAGCGAATGACACTTTCAAGAGCAGGAACCGATTGGCCTGTGTGGACCAGAAGCTTGGATTATGAATGGAACAAGGCCATCAGCAAAAAATGTCCTAACTGTTGGTTGTGCAGCCACGCACCGTCGGGCAACGGCAAATAAGAACCGGCAATGCTTTCAATACTATAGAAGTGGGTCCTTTCATTACAATAGAAGTCGTGCACACACCCCCTGATTAATGAACACCCTTCATACTTGAAGGCTTAATACCGTAAGCCCCAAAACCTAAACCCTACTGCAATGTAGTGGCCTCAACAATTAGAATAGGGTTTTGGGGGTCCTTATTACAATCACACGTAGAACATTCTAATTATTCAGGCCCCTGTCCTTATTACAATTATGGTATAATATTCCCCCGAGCCCTATTCTAATTCTTAAGGCCGGAATCCGACGGAGGCTCTGCTGCCAGCCGCTCTGCCAGGGAAAACAGGGCCGGGGCGGCGCCGCTCTCGGGGCCGCCGAGGATGAGGCCTCGAGTTCTGCTTTGGGCTTTCAGGGGGCTGATTGAGGGAGTTTTACGGAAATGTCAGGGATTTAGGGGTTAGGGGTTTAGGGCTGATTGAGGGAGTTTTACGGAAATGTCAGGGATTTAGGGGTTAGGGGTTTAGGGCTGATTGAGGGAGTTTTACGGAAATGTCAAGGATTTAGGGTTTAGGGGTTTAGGGCTGATTGAGGGAGTTTTACGGACATGTCAGGGATTTAGGGTTTAGGGGTTTAGGGCTGATTGAGGGAGTTTTACGGAAATGTCAGGGGTTTCGTGTCCCAGGGAGTCTCAGGGTGTAGTTTAGGGTATGGGGCTTTAAGGTTCAAGGTTTCGGTTTAACTGTAGGTTCTTGTTCGTTTTAACTTGTGCAAGGGACGAGAGTTTCGGCTTGAGGGCTCAGGGTGCTCTTTGGGTTGGGGCTTCAGGCTTCAAGCATTTGAGGGATTTTGGCGGGTTTACATCGGGCTTAGCGGAGTTCTGGGGTTATGTAACGGGAGCGTTGCAGATGCAGGTCTTCATAGAGTTGTAACGGCAGAGCCACCGTGCTTGCTACAGCGGTGGGGATTAACACCACGATAGCGATGATCATCACCGCGCAACTAATTTTCAACAACGACATCAGTCTCACCACCACTCCAATCGTCGTTAGTGCAACATCACCAGCAGCAATCACTTTCTCGTTGTCTCGTATCCATTCCGCGAGGTAGTTGGAACTTTTCCCAAGTCTCGTGCTGGAACAAACATCAACACGAGTTGAAGCTGCGGCTCAGGGTTCACGAGGGCGCAGCTTGGGACTGAGGTTTTAGGCTTTGGGAGGAGGGCGACGACATGCGACGACAGTCATGGTGGTGATGTTGCTGACGACAACGGCATGTGATTCCAGTGGGTGGACGTGAAGATGGTCCTAAAAACGAACATGCCGATGCTCGTGAAAGGCCCAGCTGTGAAGAAAAAGATGTCGGAAGTTATCATGATTGGCAGGTGTCAGGGTGAGGACAAAGATGAGCACGAGGATTGGTGGTAGTGGACGTGATAGACAGGATGATTAAGATTCAGAGAATGCGGATGGGAATGCTGATGATTAGGATGTTGATGGAATCCGAATGGTGGCAATGATTCGAGATCGTGCCTTCCCATGGTGTGTGCTAGTGTGCGTGTGTGTGTGTGTGTGTGTGTGTGTGTGCGCTTCATATGGCTTTCAACTTTCATCAGCAGCATCAGTAGCACAAGACTCTTGACATTACATGTTGTATTTGGAGCAGGGTCGACCCTTCAATCCAAGCAGCGCAGCAGCATCAACCGGGAAGGAAGCAGCAGAAAGGTCATTCATCCTGGATTAGTGATAATCGCCGCAACAACAGGAAGACCAATTGCACGTGCGATAATGCTTGCGCCACTTCTGCTGCCAACCATAACGGTAATCAACACTGATTCCCAAGCTCGGAGTTAGTGCTGCCGAAGGCGCCCAGGTCAACGAGCCGGAGCGCTTCACCTGTGTCCGTACTCTTGCAAACCCCCCAGGCTTGGGCAACCTCCGTGTTTCCGCCATGGTCTTGCCTACACCCCGACGTCCTGAAGGGCTTGAATTGGGCCTTACGGTTCTATTCGACAAGACATCACTGGCACAAGCAGGCTGTGTCCCCGGAATTGGTGGATACAGCTGGTAGAAACTTCGGAATGTTGTGGCATCGTGGTCGCGTCAGCAATCCCAGAAGCTGCTGAACCCGCGATGATGCAAAGCCAGGACCGGCAACACAGCCATGTAATTATGCACCTGCGCCCGTTGCAACAAACCGACACGTGCACGATCTGTTCGGAGTTCTGTCTTTGCACTGCTGCCAGCCCGGACAAAGAAGCCAATCGGGATCGGTCGTCACATAAGCTGTTGCTATCGTATCCCGGCTCGTCGAGCGGTATTCGGAGGAGTTCATAAGACGAACAGAAAACACCTGCGACTGCTGGCAGAATGAAAAGCCCCACCTGGCTTCTCCGTCTCCATTTGGCCGCGCAGCAAGGATGCGATGGCAAGCACCTTCCACGGTGCTACCAGCACTGCTACAAAAAATGCCACTTCTGATCCTGCTGGTTCTCCTACACAGCATCCATGACAACGGCTACTCCTTCTACTCCTGCTGCTAGCCGCCAGCCGCTAGCGACTATTGACCCTGCGTCTCCTGCAACTGCCACTGCTACTTCCACATGTCCGAAGGAGCACCACCTCAACTGTACCACCACCGCCACCACCAGTACCAACGCCACCCCCGCCACCCGCACCACCCGCACCACCACCCGCACCACCACCCGCACCACCACCCGCACCACCACCAGCACCACCACCAGCACCACCACCACCAGCAGCACCACCACCAGCAGCACCACCACCAGCAGCACCAGCAGCACCAGCAGCACCAGCAGCACCAGCAGCAGCAGCAGCAGCAGCAGCAGCAGCAGCAGCAGCAGCAGCAGCAGCAGCAGCACCAGCAGCACAAGCAGCAGCACCAGCAGCACAAGCAGCACCAGCAGCACCAGCAGCACCAGCAGCACCAGCAGCACCAGCAGCACCAGCAGCACCAGCAGCACCAGCAGCACCAGCAGCACCAGCAGCACCAGCAGCACCAGCACCAGCAGCACCAGCACCAGCAGCACCAGCAGCACCAGCAGCACCAGCACCAGCACCAGCACCAGCACCAGCACCAGCACCAGCACCAGCACCAGCACCAGCACCAGCACCAGCACCAGCACCACCACGGTCCCTGGTCGGAGGGCGACAGAGTGGTTCTCATTGGTTACACGGTTCGTTCATTGCATCGCCTGACTGACAGCGATCGACAGACCTTGACAAGCTTGGGATTCAGACTGGAGGCTACTGAGTGTACGATCGTGCTGAGGACGGACCCGGTGGATGCGGGGAATAGCCCTGCGTAAGTGCAGGTGTGACCCTTACTTTAATTTGTATGCGCATCGTCATTCGTGTCGATGCGGAGCCTTGGTATGCCATAAGTAGCGTGATGTCATGCGCATCCGGTGAAGCCCTGCTCACCGACTAGGTCCTGTCGCAACGTTCGGATCTCTCCTAACTGCGGTACAAACAAACAAACAACTCACGACGGTGCTAACACAGGCATGGAAGGTTGCATCATGCACAGCGGCGAGCCTCACGCCACGGTTGCACGTCAGCGCCACGATTGCCAGCATGGAGTTGTGCCCAGGCGCGATCGTATGTCGCCTGGAGTTCCTGTGCACACACGCTCGAATCAGGAACTGATCAATCACAAGCTGCTGTCGGCGCGACCATGACGGGTTAGACCAAAAAGGGAGGAGCTCTTCGAGATAAGGCCCCAGTATAAACTGACTAGCCATACCACTCCGGACAAAGCTGCTCGAGATCAGCTCATGATGTTCGCTGTTTTTGTGTGCAGCCTTCGTCGAGAGTCGGCGGAGGAAGCATTAGTAGAAGCAGAAGCAAAAGTAGCAGTGGAGTAGAAGAAGAAAACCAGCATTAGTAGAAGCAGGAGCAAAAGCAGTAGCAGTGGAGTAGAAGAAGAACGCCGCCTGGCTTCTTTGTTTTTCCAGCTTGTTATCTCAAGTAGTTATGCACCAAGCACTTGGTTCCTCAGCTTCGGATGTCGCAAAATTTACGCTGACAGGGCAAGCTCTTGCCAGCACACGAAGAATCCAGCAGTGAACAGCGGCAGCTACGGTCGGCACTGTGCCAAGGCGAGCAACTTCGCTTTTCAACAATGGCGAATGCATGACAACGTGCCCTCACATTGCCAATAATGCGCAACATGCAAGCCAATTTTCCAAAACATAGATGTGCTTGGTGGGTGGCGGCAAGCTGGCATTTGATGAAGCCGAAATGAAATGCTAAACCTGCCAACGATTAAGCTACCGTACCTAGGAGCTAAGACGTGCAGATGATGCTTGTCTATGAATATCACAGGCTAAAATTCATTCTCAGGTAAGCCGGTATTACAGTTACAGTAATCTTCCCTCAAGTCGCTGCCTGCTTCTTGTCGTCTTGACTAAGAGCTGGATCTTCCTGCGCGAGGGTGGTTGAAGCGCATCGAAAGCCGAAGGGGAAATCCAATCACCTGAGGGTTTGGAACCCCGAACCGTGAACTTGTGGCAGCTTCTTGAAAACATGCTGCGGTCGCTGTCGTCTGTCGCTTATGGCTTGGATGTCTTGGCCTCAAGCATATCTCTGCTTGCAAAAACAAGTTGGTTGCTCGATTCACGTCTAGGTGCCCGTCCGAACTTTACTCTGCATCCTTGTTCGCCAACTCTCCGCACCACGAGTACATAGAACCCCTCCATTTCCACGCTGCTGCAAGCCGAGATCTGCGGAGTAACAGCACCTGAATATGCCTGAATTCAAGCACACCCAACATCTGCTGCATCGCAATCTGCCCGATCCCTGCACGAGCTTTGGAACCTCCATCAAAGACAAGTGTCATGTTTTGAAACCCAGAGGGATATACAAGCACATCGGAGGAGGCTCATGTAGCGGCTCAGTGCCAGAATGACTATATCTGGAGCAAGAATCCGGAAGAGCCACACCAAGAGCCTCCCAAGAATGCAAAGATGTGTTGAGGGCGTACTTTTTGTACAACTAGACGACTAAATTTGATCATCCTGTTTCTGTGGCTGCAACACCAATTGTCTTTTCCTTTATTGGCCTCAACACTTCCAACAACAGCAAACTCCGCTGACGCCCGCTGCTCCTGGGCCTTGACGACTTTGCGCGCGGCAGCCAAAGCATCCTTCAGGGCAAGACCTCAACAGCGAATGGTTCGTATGGGCTCATAGGCGTTTTGGGTTCAGAATCAGGGGCTCTGCATCGAAGAAAACAGTAGCAGACCAGCAGTTCCCGCTTGGTCCGTATGGAATGGCGATAAAGGTTTAGTAAGTTTAGTTTGGGTCAGGAACGTTTAAAGTACAATGCAATCACGAGAATCTGCGAAGAAAACGATGATCCGTCTGCCAGTACTTCGGCGGCCAAAACGAAAACTGCCATCCCCTCCTGCCCTCCTCGCGCTCCTCCTCCGCCTCCTCCTACTCATACTGCCACTACTGCTACTACTGCTACTGCTGCTGGTGCTACTGCTTAGACCACCACCACTACTTCTCGTACGACAACAAAACCGATGACTACTGCCAAACTCGTCCCGTCCATCATCCACCGAGATGCACTGCGGGCTCTCTGCCTGTTCTTCCGCTTGAGCCTGCAGGAGGGCATGATGGCTGGATATCTGCTGACGAGATGTGCAACATCCCGTACGAACCGTGATCAGCACAGCAGTGGGAAACCAGCTGTTACAGCCAAGTCGGGTAGATATTGTAATTCAAACATCATGGCCAATAGAAAGTGATGATAGGAAACAAAAGGCATGCTTGGAGCCTTGACATAATGTTGCTGTTGCTGATGATGATGGTGAGGACGATGATGATGGACCGCACCTACTCTGTTGTTAACAGTGCTCAGCCGCTCCGAAGCCAACAATAATTCCATGGCTAATTCCGTACTTCTTTCCAACTCTTCATTCCGTACGGGCAGTCCGCAAATATGCAGCGACGGAACAAGGGCAACAATGAACGAACAATGTCAGCGCTGTCAAAGTCCAAGCGCCGAAACGTCAACGATCTTCGCCTTCATCGGCGGCAATGCCAGCACTGGTCGTAGTGAGACTAGACAGCCGGCATTGAGAATAGTCACAACACTCTCCATTATCGCCACCACCATGATCGCCATCACCACCACCACCACCATCATCATCATCATCATCATCACCATCATCAGCATCACCATCATCTTTGTCATTACATTCACAGCATCATTCCCATGATTATGAAGCAATGCTTATCGCACTAGACCCTAGATGATGCATGATTCGCAATTATTCTTCAACGCCGCAGTCGGAGAAAAGCCTTTCGCGGCAGTCGTACATCGTGGCCATTGACACTATATAAGCTTCTAGCACCAAAGGCTTGCACCACGTGAAACAGGTTTTTTTTGCCATTGGGAGTGAAGGACAGGTAGAGGCGGCAATAACAATTTTCTGAACTAGACCGGCCATATCAAAGTAACATAACAGCTCAACTTGTTGTGGGAGCGATCCTGTGTTTCTCAAAACTCACGATCCTAGAACCACGAACCTTCCGACTTGCAGGGAAACCTGTCATTCTTGAACCCACCCAGCCTCCAGCTTGAGAAGAGACGTCGCCATGGGACTAACTCTCCATGGTTGTGACTTTAAGCTGACTGAAGGTCAACACTTCCTGGCTTAGGTGGCGCTTCCTTGCTGCAGCGCTCTTCGATTGGGGAGACTAGATGGCCCACCACGAACTCCTCCTAGGAAGTTGCACTGGGCTTCAAACCTCAGGTGTATAAGTATCGCCCTGAAGCCTTTAATCTCAGGAAACTGTACGGGAGACTTCGGTGTCTGTACTTGGTGAGTGTCACGGTTGAGAGACGGAAAGACCCCCAACATGAGCTGAGTGCTACAGCAGTTGCTGACGTGCCAATCTTGCGGGCCCCAGGTTAGCAGGAAAGTTGAACCTTTCGCATGTTTGGCCTGCGTATAATTAGTCCGTAAGGACTCTCCACAAACTCGTCAGCCAATCATGGCTGAGCGTCGGCCCTGCTGTAGTTTTTGGGCTTCCGGTTGAAATCACTTACAAGAAGATGACTTGCAGTGTGGCCCGTACGGATTCTGTGAAGATATGCAACTTCATACAACAAATGCCCCAGAACCACACAGACAGAGACAAGCAACGAGTAAGAATCCTGGTGGGCCCTATGGTCCTATGCCTATCCGGGCACCGCGCAATCCGTCCGGCGTTGGTGGGCAGCTGTTCAGCAGTTCCAGCAACTGCACGGCCTAAGTCAGTGTTTGCGGCTCACAGGCATCGGCGTCTGTCATATAGGGACCTTTATTGCTCGACTGGACTTTTTGGGCCCCTTGTACGATCATTAAAATCGGGCCTCCCAAAATATAGGTAATTATCAAGACCCCTATATTTACAGGATTCGAGGCTGCTAAGCTTGACCCCATGAGCATGCAGAAAAGGGTTCATGTACAAAGGCATCATCTCCACCGCCCGATTGAGCTTCGCAGTGATGTACATGCCATTTACAGCGGCCATTTGGGACGAAGACCCGGCTGTGTGCAGATCTGGACAAAACTTGAAGATCTTGAGTATGATTCGCTGGACAGCTGCATTTCAAGAATAGCTGACGGTCAGTATCGAAGCCATTTCCGAACCTAGCCTCAAACAACTATTTTCAGTACTGAGTTCCTCAAACCCGGGTTTCGAACCCAGGATTGAACCTAGGTGTCATCTCTTCTCCAAAGCACTCGAGATATCTCGAGATCACTCGAAGTCGATGGTAAGAGCTTGAGGGCAACGGTCTTTCAGGCAACACACCTTCCGTCCAGGGCACCTGTAGAACACGGGGCCCTACAGGAAGCCAAAACAGACTTCGGTTTTCACAGGCTCATATTTGCGGTGAGGGCAGAGAGAGAGAGACACCGAGGTAGAGGAAGAGCAAGAGAGAGACAGACAAAGAGAGGGACAGAGAGAGAGGGAGAGCGAATGCGAGAGAGAGAGAGAGAGAGAACACAAAAGTGACAGAGGGAGGCGGGGAGGGAGCAGAGGAGTTTCAAGATGAAATAGGCTTTTCCCAAACAGAACGTCAGCACGGCTCGAGTCTGCAATGCGGATTGTGGGTTTAGAGTATGATTATGACAGACAGAAACCTACATCCTTCTAAGTAGAGCTGTCTGAAGGAACAACTATATCACGCTACCACTTTCCGAGGGTCCGCTGCATCCCCTTCGATGTCACAGCCCCACGCTCAAGGTCCCAAACCCTAATTCCAAGGGGAACTTCAGATTCTGAAGCTCGAGGTTCCTGCCGCCGCATCGCTGAGCTTGTCGTGTCTATCGCGCTGCAGTCGTTCCTGGCGCAAGCTCGGAGGTGGTTCGAGTCGAGGTGTTGCTGAGTCAGTTGCACAACTGCGGTCCTGTTCAGTTCAGGACACAGCAAGACAGAGGGACAACAGCTCAGATGGACAGCCTGAGTCTCAATAATTGGTATCATGCTGACGATGATGATGACGATGAATGTGACATGAATTAAGTCAGTTTTTATTCTCACGGATACCAACGCAAGCCGCCTCAAATATCTTGCGCAGCGTGCAACATGAGTTCACGGCTTCTAGTGTAAGTGACACGCACGTACATGAGAAACAAGCATCAACAGTTAAGAGTCCGTGCATGTGTTGGCATGCACCGCGTTAAACTGCCGGCCTATAGGACAAGAAAATTACAACACGACGCTCACAACGACTCGGACCAGCAACCTCACGACACTAGAAGACCACCAGCCACCAACCGGCAAACCCTGTTCATCGAGGGTGCTCTTGACAATCTCTGGGTTCGTAGGCTGGCGATTTCGGTCCTTGCCAGACGTCGATAACTATCGATAGCTGACACACCCCGAAACCCCAAAAGCCTCGATGCAAAGGTCCAGCACACAGGGCGGCCTCGGTAATCTTGAGTCTGAAGCGCATCCAGCGATTGCGGAGACAGAAACCCTAAAGCGTATCGGTATCGTAAGACCGTCTAAACCCTAGGCCCTAAACCCTAAATTGGAATCCTTGCACCCTCGCACCTGACCCCCACACCAACGCTTCGCAAGTCCCGGGCTGCTTCGGTTCCAAGACAAAGCTGGGTATCCATCCGCTTTCTCTGCACACCTGCGGTCCGAGTTTAACGGCCAAGATAAGTTTGAGTGTCATCGGGGGGAGAGAGAAGTATGCGACAACCCGATCGTTCTCTGTGTGTGTGTGTCTCTCTCTCTCTCTCTCTCTCTATATATATATATATGTATATATATATATGCACACATATTATGTGGGTTTAGGGTCTAGTGCGTGTATATTGTGTATATACACGTACACAACACACCAACACACACACACACACACACACACACACACACACACACACACACCCACACGCACACACACACACACACACACACACACACACACACACACACACACACACACACACACACACACACACACACACACACACACACACACACACACACACACACACACACACACACACACACACACACACACACACACACACACACACGCACGTGTAACGTATAGAATGACTAGTTGTTCGAGCTCGGGGCCCCTACTGAACTTCCTCTCGATGGCTGTGGATTGCATCAATGTGGACGAGCCCCGCAAGCAGACTCCCAAACAATAGCTTTAGAAGATTCTGTAAGATACTAAAAATGCGATAAAATCTAGCCATATAATATGCGAAAATATACTACATATCATGACCTAAGGTGAGCCTTGGGCTTTCACATCCATTGGCCGCACGTGTGCACTGACGACCGCCGGCCCGTGCCAAGCCACCTCTAGTTCCCCCCACTCAATTCCGAAACCGAATCCTTAGGCCCACATGTGTGACTCATAAGCCAAGACAGTATGGTCGTCCGAAGCGTATCATGACCCTGCGATGTCTACCATGCCTTCCCAAAACGTCACACTTCCTGAAACCTAGCTTATGCTCCAGCCTATGCAGGGCCTATAGCCCCAAAGGGCGCTTGCTGCTTGCAGATCAGGGCCATCGCTCTCGCACAGGAGGCAACACGAAAGCTACATACGACCGCCCTCCCATGTCATCACGGGAAACAGAACAGTCAAACGATACCAGTTCCCACGGATGAAGGCACCTCGTCAGGACAAACAGACACACACACACACACACAATAACACTCACACCGCACCCGTGGGCGCGCACGCGGGGGCAACAAACACGCAGTATAGGATTGGGGCCACTACAGTAGTAGTCGCGGCATCCTCGCGACAGTGCACCAACCCTGCATCCCAAAAGAACCAATTGCAGCCTCGAGGTGCTCCTCAACTTCCCGGTAGGTGTCCTGCTGGTTCAAGCTATTTATGGCGGCAAATGTCGCTGGCCTACAGCGCCCGCACACTTCATTTCAGGTCTGCGTGCGTGTGTCTGTGTTTGTTAACTGTTCTGGGCTTGCGGTTAGGGTGTGGAGTTTAGTGTCCCTGAATTTTTCAGAACCAGATCGATAACAAAGGGCCACCAACCAAATGCCGCCTCAAACCCCTCGTAGCACCCGAGTGGAGTCAATCAGGAACTTATACACAATAATGATGAGGTCTGCGACTTGGACCTCGGTCCACGGTTAGTGCTGGGGTAGGACTTGACATTGCATGTCCAGTCTCGAATTTGCTTCTGACGAAACAGGAAACAAGGCCATGAGTCACGAGGAGACCTATATCGTAGAGGGCTCTGGAGGTCCGCCCACTCCTGGACTGGACTAGAGGTCGAAAGCCTTGAGCAGAGGTTAGAGATCATCTTGCCTTGAGGATTTGAGGATCTGATACTATGAGTCTATCGGGATTCCTAGGGCCTAGGGCATAAAATAAAGTTAGTCGTATTCCGATCCGGACACTACGCCCGCGTCCTTGCAAGCTCGGCTGACGGCTTGTGTTAAACCAAAATAGCTCTGTGCAGCCCGAGCTTCGATCAAGCTGGCAGCTGCTCTTGGACAGGGGGTCTTGAGGAATGCAGGGGAAACAGGGTGGAGGGTTGAGGGGAATATCTTACTGCGTATTGTGTCTAAGACTAAGACTAACTTGAACCGGCTGTGCCGCCGGCCTTCAGAACGGTTCCGAAGACCCAGCCATCGGCCTGATGGGAGATCTGCACAAGATCTCCTCTGCAAGCGGGGTGTGAACGGGTTGAGCAGGTGGACGGACTGAAAGTATGCCGCAGACGTACGCCGTACGCCTCACACATCATCAGCATCGTCATTATCAGTATCATCATCATCGCTATCAGCAGCAACATCGTCACCCTCCCATTATCACCATACTCTTCCACCTCCTTCCCACACCCAAGGACGATTGACATGCGGCTTCAGGCGTGATCGGAGGTTAAGCACCGCAGCATCGCACTAAGGGTCGATGGGTAGCAACAGGCATGGTAGGGCACGGTCTAATCTCGACCCCTCGAAACCTCAAAAGCTCTGCCAAGGATTCTTTCGTACCTTCCTGTCTTTTGCTATGAAAAGTTTATTTCTAGTTAGCCCCTTTCAGTGTCTATCACATTCGCATTTCCTTTCCGGGATGGCTAAGCTGCTTACCGAATTGCTTGGCTTGCTAAGTTAGAGTGGCGTATATACGTACATGACACGCTGCTTCCTAACATATCCAGAGCTCCCCACCATGGTTCACAATGTGCTGTGTTTCGGTTGTTGCAGCTGAGCGTAACCACTCTGCAAGGTTGCTGCCTCACAAGAATGCACGGTTGAGCTCTTAGAAAGCCTTACGCCCTCTGTCTTCAACCCAGGGACCGAGAGACCAAGCTTATGACCTCAACTAAGTGTGATGCTACAATCATACAGGGAATATGAGGGATACTGTTTCTGATTAGTCCGACCCCAACATGCCGATACAATTACCTCCCGAAAGACATCGTGAGTCCAAGTTTTGTCCTGCTGAGACCGGCAGAGCACCACTGGTGGCGTAGTCCTTCAAGCCCCCAGCAAGGACTGATCGCTTGCAGTGACAGCTTATCTGCATTCTATTTCAATTCAAGATCCACCGAACATCAGGCTTGAAGATGGCAAAACAACAGGCAACGAGTCACAAGCTTAGAGTTGGGAAGCTGAGGTCTTGTGCGTGTGCACTGTATTGCAGAGAGGGTTGCTGTTGGGGTTTGACGCAAGGCTCACATACGTCATCACTGCATCAGATTTTCAACCAGAAGAAGTTTTGGACTGTGGGGCCGGGCATGGCATGAATTTCCTACAGACATGACAGACAATAAATGTAGCACATGCAAGAATGCGTGAATGCATAGCCCCTTGCCTACCTCCCTACTTGCCTACCCAGTCTACATACATAGTCAATTACATCACGTGTTGCATGGTCTTGTGGCCATTCGACACAAGCCCATGCACACACGCGGCGCAAATCGGCACGGGCGAACGTGCACATATCAACAGGCAGAAACACATGTGAAAAAGTACTGCGGACGGAACGAGAGGGTTGTATCCAGAAACACAAAACAAAAACACAACGAAGAGTTGCCACGAAGATAACCTCGATTATGGCCAAACAAAACCAACTGCAGCCTACAAGCAGACTACAAAAGCACGACAAAGCCACAGCGCCGATACAAAACGAACATCTGAAGCAAGATACCAGTTTAAAGGAGTAACATTAACTAGCTATAGCAAACACAAGGTCAAAAACCGTCTTGTCTGCAAGAAGAGGTGTTAGGATGTGTCAGGATGGTGCTAGTCTTTGTCCTGAGCTCCTCTCTTGCCCTCACAGAGATCGAGATCCAAACTCTTGATGTTTGCGGCTGAGGGACCCTTAACCCCACATGTTTTCGGCAGCTACATGTGCAGACCGACCTGCACAAACCCGCACGAAACACGTCATGGCCCATCATGGCCCTGTAAAGTCTACCTGAATCAGAACAGAACCAAGCCCGGACAAGATCGGAGCAGCTCATGAACTACCACAGCGATGGTGATGTAGCGAAGCAACTCTTGAAATGGCAACCTGGCAACAGGGCCTAAACCCTAATCCCTAAACCCTAATCCGGACCTTCAGGTTCAGCCTTGGGGGCTTTGGGTTTCAATGTAACACCAGGAAAGCAAGCGTGGGTCGACCTCTTTGCTTCCAGGTCCGAAAATGAAGAAACACAGGAAGAAACGGCCAGATGCATATAGTGCAATATAATCTACCGAAACATCGTACATTCATTATACATAACAATATACGAGGTACAAGATGGTGATACACTATACTGTACTTTGCCATACCATAAGGCCATACTCTATCATTCTCTGGTACAGTATAAGATAGTTTAACATAATATCCTGGACTATCATGCACCATAATGGCTTCGGATCCAGTAGGCATGTCACAGCTCAGCCAGGGATAGTGCAAGATCAGATACCAAAGCGGCCTGAACATTTCGCATCTGAAGCGGTTCCTTCAAGGGGTTGTAGTGTTTCTACACGGGCTGTATGATATAGGGACATTAATGATTCTAGTAAGGTTTCGTGCTATACTATACTAGATCAGATTTAAAGGAAAGGTCAAGGGAAAGTTGTTCCGACAGCTGTATTAGTCCCGACACGACGACGAGGATGAGGGTGCACCAGGAAACTGTGCAGAAGTCGCACAATGATGTGACTGTGTTCATGCTGATGATGCTGCTACGTCTGAAGATGACTATTGTGATGAAGATGGTCAAGATGATCAGCATGACGAGCGTGGTCTGGTTCTGCAAAGGATGTGGTGGCGGTTCTGGTAGCGGCTGCAATGGCAGTGATGATGTTAATTGAGACGATGAAGAGCACAATGGTGACACGATGACTGACGACACCGGCTACAATAGACGGTCTGGCGCCTCCACCCCGTCTCGACGGTGTGTGTCTCCGAAGACAAGTCTGTGAGTTTTGACTGCGGCAGCCAGCCTGCATGTTGGGGCCCTAGCTCTCAGGCGAAACGTCTAAAACTTACCCAGACCTGGGACATCGACTGTTGCCAAATACGGGAACCCAACCCTTTGGCGTCGAAGTCGCAGAGCGAGTGCGAGGGGCTTGAAGGCTGGCTTGCACAAATGTCGGAGAAAGGAAGCTAGTCGCAGGCTTCGGAGTCTCTAACTATGGTCGATTATGATAACATATAACATAGCACTATACTTCTACACAACAAGCATCTACTGTGAGATGCTACCTAATTTTGTTGTGACTTTGCTTTATGGTTGACCTGCTGGTCCGGACAATTACACGAGGCAGGGATTGCCAAGTACTTCCTTTCGTTTCTTGTAAAACCTAAGGGGCATTTATACTAATAATCGTTTTTTGGGAGAGATCGCAGTTTCCTCCAAGCTTTGCAAATGCATACAAATGTATTAAGAATTATGATATGGCCCAGAACCCTACTCAAATCTAATCATACAAGCCTCACTTAGGCCCCTTGATGATTGGAATTAAGATACATGGGCTGATGGTCTGTGGCTTGGGCGTCGAGCTTCCAGTCTCAAGTTTGGAATTCTGGGGCATGGAACAATGGCCAAATGCAAAGATTCGCAAGAAGATCGCACGCCGCCCCGAACCGAGAAGCACCAGGTATGTCCGTGCAGCGTTCCGGCTGTCCTTCGTGGTCGACTTTTTGCTCAGCGGTGTTCCACACCACACAGTACGCGTAGCCGTCCCATGTGTTGGTGATATTGACGACGGCGTTCTCCTCCAACTGAAGCTACGACCAGACCGCTTCAAAGGTCCACGCTTCAAAGGTCCACCCTACGTAATCATCCTCTTGATGGAAGGCGCTGACTTCGAAACCACTTCAGCGCAGGGACAAGAGTCACATGGTTGGTGCGACACGTATTGATAGTGGTTGTTGAGTTTTCGGGCCTCAAGCTTTCAGCTAGGAGCCGTGATTGGCTGATGGACACTCCATGCATGATCACAATTTTGGTGGAAGATCCCTGCTTGCCAGATTGACTCAAACATTCTGCCGGAACTCTTAAGATCCGGGCCAGGGTAGACAAGGGAAGGGTGGAGGCAGATCCTGATCCGCCCTAAGCAACATGTTTTGGATCCTGAGGTTTCGTGGAAAATGGAACCATTCCATTGGTGCTGATCGAAGGTCCACTTTCATGAATCGCTGTTCTGCTGTCCTCGCCAAACACTAGTAAATTGCGAACATGTTTCTAGCACACACATCATCCGGTTACATAGGATTTGCTTTGCTGAAGCGAAGACATTGCTCGCGGTCCTCGAATCCATTCTCACCTGTCGCAAAGGCAAGTTTGGAAACACCCTGTACCAAACAGGAAACCGAAAACCTGCGAGGAGGGAGCTATAACAGAAGGCACAGTTTCCACGGCACAGCATAGAGGTTCAAATCCTGCCTACTATCTCAATCGCTCACACCTCAAGGCATCAAGCTTGAAGCCCTGTGAAACCTAAATAATTAATGAAGCACCCCGAACTACCTGAAACGCAGCAAAACAAGCGGTCAAGGAAAACAAAGAACGGCAAGCCAGTCATGGTCGTCGTCGTAGTAGTAGTAGTAGTAGTAGCAACAGCAGCAGCTGTAGCTGTGGTAGTGGCAGCGGCATAGGGGCAGAGGGGGCGAGGGGCAGGGGCAGAATGGCAGGGGCAGGGGCAGTGGCATCAGCAGTTGGTGTCGGTGTGGGTGTAGGTGCAGGACTAATTAGGTGTGGATGTGGGTGCGGGTGTAGCAGTAGTCGACGAGCAGCAGCAGCAACAGCAGTAGTAGTAGTAGTAGTAGTAGTAGTAGTCGTCGTCGTCGTCGTCGTCGTCGTCGGTGTAGCAACGCCTGGGGATGCAGATGGAGTACGGCACACAAATTGCGCGATCAAATTCTTACCGTTTCACGAACCCCGCCCTGGCCCTCTCTCATCACCCGCTCCCCTCCCCGTCTTGAACAGCATGGTGCCTTCAGCAACCTGGGCCATGCTTTGCAGAGCTGGGAGTGGGACAAGAACATCTGGAAAGAACTCCATGACATCTCCAACGCCATCCGCCATGGCTGCGAGGCTCCGGTGCCGGGAGGCTGCAATTTGTGTGGGCTTGGGGGTTCCAGGCTCGAACGAACCACACACCTCAATACCGAAAATGCAGCTTAGGGTGGGCGCTCATGCTGCTGAAGGAATCACATACACCAAGATGCATATCGACATGCACTGGCTGCGGGAATTGGCTGATTCGCGTTGGGCACTCTACCGGCGCACACTTGAGTGAAGCTCGGAAACACGATGCTGCCTTGGCAAACTCTGCAGCTTCGGCAACAGTGAAAACTAGGAGGTCCTGAATGATTTCATCTGCCTAACAGGCCTCGAAGTCTTGGATGCTCACGCTGCAGCGTTCGACAGCTTTTCAGGGTGCAGTTCTCAACGCAAACCCAACCCAACCAAAAGACGACATACATGACATGCTTATGAATGCTCGAACCTTTAGGAGAGACCTACTGCCACAAAGACGGAGAGCATCGCAAAACCCTTTTTCTGTCCAGACTGCTCGAGGTCTTTGCATCAAGCGCAACCGCGAGGCTTGATGGTGTGGATATGCCAGGTTGAAGTCAGGGCTCGGCACGTGCAACCCTACAATGGGATCTGAGGCTTTGCAGATTTCACCAAGTATTTAGCAGGATCTCAGCTGGGCAGGTTCTTGGAGGCGTGAAGATTTATGCAATTTGTGGTGCTGGTAGGCGATTTTGGCCCTTGTCGCAGCATGCGCCTCGAGGTTTGCGGCCTCAAGTGCGAAGCCAACACATGAAAGCATGCAAAAGTAGTTCTTCTGGAGCATAGTCGCTTACAGCAGATATGCTATAATCTATCATCGTCTGATATGTGTAGTTCGCTGTTTCTGCCAAAGCTCCAAGCTGAGCTGGCCCTGACTTGCCGCAAGTACAGATACTCACAGCCGGCGATGTTAAGCAACGCAGAACCTCCTTTCCATTTTGGCTGGATGAGGCAAGACCCGGGAATGTAAGGTCCGAGTGTGATGAGTTCATGGGCTCCGGACCATGCGCTTCGACACTGCTGAAAGCGGAACACCCCATGAAGCCTCAGCGATCGTGTTCGGTCTTCTGCACAAATTTGCGACGACTGATGCAGGAATATTCGGATCGCAACACTGGGGTTTCAATCGCAGATGGGGAGAAGTGCCGGTATCGAATAAACACCGGATCGAGGTACCGGTCTGGCCTCTCTACTCCAGTCAAGCCCTGCCGGTCCTGTTTTCTTTACAAGCCTGAATGCACACTATCACTATATGCCATAATGCGACACCTTCCTCTTTGTAGTGAGGGAATATCATACCGCAACTGTACGTCTCACGAAGAACAAAGTCAGGAGACCCTAAACCGCGCAGAGCTCGTGCAAGCAACCTGGGACTTTGAGACACACGCCGATAACTCCTGCTGCTGATTGCTATGGCTACGGGATGGACGCTGATGCTCCTGAAACGGATGAGGGGGATGACCAGAGCCGGCAAAGGGAGGAGAACCGAGGAGGAGGATCATGACGATGCTGGTGATGATGATGATGATGATGCAAATAGTGGTTGTGATCTTGATGATGATGCTGCCTCTGCTGGTACTGATGCTGGCTACTGAACAAACTATGAAGCCGTGAAGCTGGCGGCTAATTGCCGCTAGTTGTCTCCAGGATGAGGGCACACTGACCTGACGCTGTGGCTCCATCAGATGCTCAGAGCCAAGAGGTGAGGGACTGGTGTAATTTCACAGCTTACATGGAGCTTGAAATCACCTTAACCTCATTAGCGGAAGCTGTGCTTTAGACGAGCCGACGCCACTGTGCACGAACATTCGGGCCAGTATGTCTGCTGGCCAACGACTTCTTAACAAGAGTCGGTGGGGGAATATGCTGAGACTGCTGACAGCGATAACACGAACAAGCAAGCGTCAATAACACGATTACAAAAATGATGGTGACGAGCATGACGGTAGCGAAGGTGCTAGTGCTGCTGACGGTCTGAAGCTGTTTACACAGAGCGTTGATGCACGTGTTCAAACCCTACCGGTGCCGATGACATTCTATCAACATGGTACTGGCTGTGACAACTGCTTTGATTGAGTGACGGGAGTAATCATGGTGGCGCTGTTGGTGATGCTGATGGCTGATGATGGTGATGACGACGAAGAAGATGATGCTGCTGCTGGTGGTATGGTTTGTGCGGCGTGAGATGCTACTGATGATGACGATGATGATGATGATGACGATGGTGGCGCTTCGGGGAGGATATGCCGCGCCGTATTGGCCTATCCTGGTCTTTCTTCTGGGCTCACGATAACATTAGCCCCGGAGAATCGGAAGTCGACGAAATCCGCAGCATAAGCTGGAATGTTTCTGTGTCAAGTCGCCCAGTGTGGAGTTCGAGTCAAACGAGAAGAGGGGCAGTGGTCCACATATACAGGCCAATGAAGCGGATGGCTCGGATAGCTTCGGCAAGGTAGGGGCCTGAATATAAGACGAACATAAGGCTCTCTGGTCACTATCTTCGATGTAGCTATAATGAGAAGCTCTACGGAATGATACTGTTAGTTGATCAAGCTTGCATGTTACGCAAAAACGGCAAAAAAAGAATCGATCGCCCGTGCAAGCGGCCTTGCAAACCTGCATCTGCCAGCGTCTGCATGCGATCCTGGCATTTGGATGGTAACATTTGTAAACATGGCTGTAATTACCCCCAGGCTTCAGTTGCCTAAATGACCTAAATAACGGGTTACTGTGGTACGCTAGTAACCTACTAACCTAGGTAGCCGGAGCCCTAGGGTAGCGACTGTAGTGTTTATAAGATATAGGGTTAAGCCCGCAATCTGTGCGGCCCTCATGGGTTCTGTCGGTCTGCTGTTCAAGACCAACCTCTTATCTGCCTCTGTGTGCTCCCTGGCTGCTTGGCCGATGCATGTGTTGCCATGAACCAGACTGGGAAGCATCCCGACAGCCACTGAAAAGAACAAAGTTAAGCTCATCAAGAAAACAAGGGAAGAATAGCGTATTAATCCCAATTAAGGACACGGCCATAGCACATGATGGTTCAGCAGCCCCAACGCTTCAACCCGAGATCCCCAAGCCCGGGTAGGTTTTTGGGTTTAGGACACCTTGCCTGGGAGTGTCTTCGTTCGGGTGGAGCAGCGGAGGGGGGAATTCAGAACTCGGCGGCACTCCACTTCCATATACGAGTATCTTGTCGGGTTTCGCAGTTGGGCTCCGCAGGGTATCGATTCTTGCACCCTTACTTGCACCCTCACTCCTAAACTGAAGCTGGGATGCACCACCCGTGTCAGGGAGTTTGATGCCGCTTCGGAGGCTGCTGGCAATCATGTCCTCGTACTGCTTCCGAGGCATCGTAGAGATCAGCACGCACGCCTCCAAGCGTATTCTGCTAGGTAGCTCAAAGCAGCCTGTGTCCTGACACCGAAACCTGAACCAACATCACAAAAATCGATATCATGTGGAACCATGCTCCATGTTAGGGCGGTCAGGAGTTCGCAGTGGCACCCGTTTGAGCAGACAGAACCGACTGAGCTTTGAGAACAGACAACATCTATGCACACATCAACTACCCCAGAAATAATCGGTAGATCCAGCCCTGCACGAAGTAATTGATAAACTGCACTTCGGTGGCTGAGGCACCACTCAAGTTCTCAATAGAAGAGTGACACAGTCTTCGGGAACCAGGGTACGACCCTGATATAGGGTATCTTTGCCTCCCCGCAAGGCTTAACAAATCCTTTGCAGACGACTGGGATGCTTCTGGTCGGCAGTTGGGCAGCAGATCCAGATTGTGACTGTACATGCTGTGCACTTGGTTGAGCTCGTGCTGTCAACCTGTCTAGCTGAGTCTAGCTCACTAAGACAAACTCATCAGACGCAGGTCCCTGGGGAGCCTCGGGAGAATCTCCAAGATGCCCTTCCACATCCAGGAAATCGTAGACCTGAAGTGGAGGTACGAAACCTTACGCTGACGCCGGCGTCCTCCTAAACATCTGGGTGCGGCTTGGGCAACTTCAGTCTATCCATTTGTCTTCGTGACAGCTGCAAGAGCCGGGCATGAGCACTGTCACTACTATACTAGCAAGTTTGGATCCTAGCTTTCCCGTTTATGGACTTGAAGTCTCGGATTTCGGTCGAGTCACTGCATGATGCATTGAACCCAAAACATCTTCCCCTGCGCTCACGAAAGAATGCAAGCACGTTAAAGCAAGCACTTCATCCATGACTCTCGGTCCACCTGGCCGAGCGTGTGCGAGGCAAGAAATCGTCGCCTGACAAACGATTGACGGTTCGTTCTCGCCTAATATTTACAAAATCAACACAACCTCGCTTGATCATGGACGAGAGCATCTCTGATATTGATCCAACATTCCTTGGAAGATGGCAACCACTGGTCAATCCCCCTGGCATTAGGTTTGGCCCTTAGAATCGTATGCCGCACACAGTCCATCTCCCTTCGTCGAGGAGGCATTGACAAGTCGCCCTTTGCAGCTCTACTGGGCCCTGCGTCTTCCTGGATCGGCCTTGCCTCACCCGCTTTCCATCCAGAACGCGAATTTGAAGATCCACACGATCAGGCCTTGGATGGAGGCTGGGAATGCTCTCCCTACCAGTCATGACCACGAGTCCACGAAGCAGGATTCAGGGCTACAGCTCCAAGGGAGTGTATGTCTGCGCCCGTCTGGGTCCTCAGAGACATCGAAACAATGGAAAAGGCTGCAGGCTTGGGGCAATGTCGTGCAAACTTGTGCAAGAAAGCTTGTACAACGGTAGCGGAAGGTTGAGGATGCCAGAGGAGAGCCAAATGCCGTCACTGGCTTGGCCTTGGCACAGAACCAAAGGGCCCGAGTACCCAAACAGGGCCTGTCGGCCTAGCGGAAGTAAAGGACAGGTGGGGAGCTCAAACACTTGTCTCCGTCGAGGCTGGGACTATGCGCTGTGTTTAAAGGCGCGGGCTTCATGAAGGCGGGACGGGTTCGGGC